TCACAGCCATGCAGTGCGCTTTTGCAGAATAGTTGCTCATGTTCATATAGCATATTTACATGCCTTCTTGATCTTTGTTACAACTATAGCAACTATAGCCGTTTTGTTGATTATGATCATCAATCATCATGACCTTATTCGTGAGTTCAATTCGAAGCATAATTAGCGCCTAAAAATTCGTTATTAATACCAATTAAACTATTATAGTAATTATTTGAAAGACTATTTGGCGGGCTTGTATATCATACGTATGGCGAATATATTGAGAGAACATAAACATTACAATGACGGCAATGCCATTTTTGCCAGCTGATTCAACTACAATTTTTTGCGAAAATTCTGAATATATTAATTAAAACAGCAGCATAGTGCAAAAAATGCAGAAACACTGACACTGGTAAAACAAGATTGAGAAACTGAGCACTGCCAATTTAGCAAATTTATATATAACATTAAAGTTAATGAATAATGAGACAACACGTTTGTTACCTTCAAAACTGGTTATAATCTTATAGCTAGTGACAGGATAGACTTGTCAACAGCCACAAAAGGGCGATATCCAATAGTCCAAAGTTCAAATGTCTCCGCGGGCAGGTGTAAACCTCTGGGTGTAAACCGAATGAAAGATCAACTGACCAATCATATGTCAACAACGAACACACAGAACAAAGGTCAATGTAATAAGGGATTTCACTTTGACAAATATCCAAACAAAGAGCAATGTCTTGTTATGGAGAAAGAAAAGTCCTATTACATGAAACGCTGAGGTTCTTCGGACAGTAGACACATTTTTAAAATTCCGTCTCACTGCGTGAGCACATGAGATTTGGCGACATATCATACATTTTCTGTTTACGTGTCATCTGCATGCATGCATGGTCGATTGATGAGAATTTCGAAAATAACAAATAGTGATTGTTGCTTAATATATTAGAAAGTAAATAAATTAATTGCTTAATTGGATATACTGAAAAAATGTAGTTCGCTACAACGTCCTACAATTGCTCTTTTAAAAAAAGTAGTTAGAAAGTAGAAACTAAATAGTAGCTACTTGGAAATTGTAATAGCTACAATTAAAAGCTATTAGATTAAAAAAGCATAATATAATTAAGCATGTAATATTATCGTAAGATTTATTAATCAATTCTTCAATGCACATGCGTTGCTATAGTTGTCAATTGCCCCATAGACATAGTCATCTACAGTATTCAGTAAACTACATCTATACGACTCGGAATACTCACCTCTTTAATATGAAATGCGTTTTCGGCTCTAGATCGGTCCTAACTTCCAAACCTGCTGGCTGCTGATCTATACTCATGTTCTCAAAGCTGGTCAGTGAAAATGCAAAAAGTTTGCCAGGAAAATATGTTTGCATATGGCGTAACGATGCATGTGGGCTGCATAATAAACTAATTCAGTAATTGTCATAATTAACACCGAGGTTTTTAAAACACTAGACAAAATATTGATTGTTTGGCCTCATTGTTTTGGCCACGTTATTCAAATACACGCAAATGATAGAACACAATTTAACTTTAATTCCGAATAGAAGTAACTATATAATTATGATAGCTCTCTATGTATATTCCAAAAACGATATCCAGGGATACAAATATTCGAGTACGTTATATTTTACGCATATAAAATTTGGAAAACACATTGAAAGTTTGAGACTGCAGTATACAGCCTAGTAATATAGTATGGAATGAATAATTTATTTAAGAAAATATGCGTGTGGGAGACCATTGAATAATTAACACATCATTTATATCTGTTCGCCGCAAGACATTAGTCAACAGTTTTGTCTAAATGCAATATCACTTATCACTGTCATACGGAATGACGCTTGTTTTTTTTTCTCAAATCATAATATAATTGATAGCCTGATAACATTAGCGTTACACGATTGGCGTTTTTTTTCCCCAGCGTGTATATATATGGCGTTTTTTAAATAGATATTTATATCGACAATCTTGAGTTGTAATATATTGAGAGACAAATAAAGTTCAGTCGTTATTAATAAAAAGTCAATTTATTCCCATATATTTTTCGTTTCAGAGCGGTCAATGGGTGGTGCACATGTTCTCCGATGGGATCAGAGATGGGATATTAAGCTAACAAACTTGAAGGCCACAAGTATATTAATTAAGCGCTTACTACTAATACCGCCACGCCATGCTTGGGAGGGCTGTATAGAAACATGACTACTATAGTAGTATTCCTATTGCGGTTGATTTCCGCGATTGCACGTCGTAATCGTAAATCGGCGATGCTATACAGGGTGTCTCAAAAAAACCCAAAATCATTGAAATAACGTATTGTTCGAATTTCAATGCCGTAACACAAAGGATTTTGACAGGGTGATTAATTTGTTTTAAAAAATTAAAATATCTTTGTAAAGTGAACGTTTGTTTGCTCATGGGAATTTAAAAATGCTTCGTAAATTGTAAGTGCGTAATATGCATTCGTGGGTTTAGTACTTTATGCCTGACATAACAAGTTTACGCTGAGTATTACCATTCATTATAGCAGTTATGTCAATCTTTTATGCACTCGTGGGATTAACTTAGTGCTAGGGCATTGAATATCGAACAATACGTCAATTTCAATGATTTTGTTTTTTTTTGAGACACCCTGTATACGTTTTTCCCCTTAAGCCTGATTCTCATTTATCGTAAACATCAGCGATGCCCATTGACATTGTCGGTGGTCATTGATGCATAAAATGTTTTGTGCATTTTCTTCTTCGTTGTTCACAGACAATGGATAGTAGAACATCGCCGATTAATGAGAACCAGGCTATACGGATCGAAAGCACCCAGTATCCATGCCTGCTTACAACAACATCATTAGGTCCAACGTACGTTTCTCGCAGTGGCCGTTCCGGGTGTAAGCCCGGGGAGAGAGTGCCTTGCCTATAACCATCAGCAGGCAAAAATAGCGCATCACTCTACCCATAGATCCATGCAGTCATTGGAAATTTATATTATTTCATATTGTATTGAAAATCCCGCTGTTCTCCATGGCAGGAGCATGCCATGCATCTTTTGATCGTATTCGCCACATTTTGGAAACAGCAAATGAATGATGTCTTCAAATTAAAAAGCAATGAAAAGCGATTAAGCGGGCACAACACTAATAAGCGCGAGAAGACAAAGCATAAATAATTACTATATTTTAAAAATTTAAAGTAGAAATACAGTGTATTCTTTCAAATTAGTCTTTCCTTCCTAGGCATATAGGCCTGTTTTAGACGGTCCAATTTCTGTGGAATTTAATTAGTTGACTTAATTTTTATTCGAGAGAAATGAACGGTGAACGAGAAATGAATGAGTGCGAGATTGTTGAATTATTTGGTAGGTTATCGTCGCATAAATGACAGAAAATGACTTAGTTGGAAATTCAGCCGAAAAAATTCAGAATCATTAAATTCGACGTTCGCGCTTTGCCGGTGCATGCGGGACAGGCAATCGTTGCTTGCATGCAAAGCCATGTGCTTTAAGTTAAAACGTCCCAGCATTCCTTTTATTTGATTCTTTAAAAGCGTGTCCAAGAGCGAATATGAGAAAGAGATGGGAATACACAAGGGTGGGTAGTAGCGAAGTAGTTGTAGTTCGCTACTGTAGCGAACTACAATTTTCAAGTAGCCAGTAGTTTTTGACTACTTTTTCAAAACAGTAGCTGTAGTTATAGCGAACTACATTTTGCCTAAAAGTAACCAAATAGTTGACTACTTTTCAAACAGCAAATCGCTATTCGCTACTTTTTAAAATTGTTAGCAACTTGATAGAATAGAATGTTATTAGGACACAGTTTGCTTAAAATCAATGCTCAATTTGCATGAATAAAGTATGCCGTGCAACTGTTCAAACTGTGCAAGTGCATGCCGGTCTTATTTACTCGCGTAAGTCGATTTGTTATAGGTTACATTACAGCCTGTGCTATAGTAGATGTTCCATATACAGTAAAATTAAAAAATATTGAGTAGCGAAATAGCGAAATAGTTCGCTACATTTTTTAAGCAGTAGCTGTAGTCAGTAGCGAACTACTTTTGTTCAAATGTAGCAGTAGTTGTAGCTGACTACATATTTTTGAAGTAGCTGTAGTTATAGCGAACTACAAAAAATTTGTAGTCAACCCACCCTTGGGAATACATAGGTTTTGCAAACAGAAAGAGGAAATTCTATAAATGTTATATATATATGCATGTTTCGATTTAGTTTTATGTACTTGTCTTGTATTGCTTAATTCAAATGTCGATCACTTCACGTCACATGCGCCTGTGTCCATTAAAAGCTTCAAATATGTAACAATCCGACTCATATTGATGAAGTGCATTTCCTGCATAGCCATCTACCTTTTACAATTGTGCATGGCTTACATGAGAAAGATGTGAGAGCAATATTGAACGAAAGACGTCGTTTAAGACTTAATCCTGTAAAGATATTTATTTACCATTATAACTACATATATATACACACAGTAATATTATTTATTCTACTGTAAATATTAATGGAAATAAACATAGTAATTTGTACATGTGGCGCGTAATATAGTAAGTTGTACATGGCTGCCATAACACTTGTTGAAATAAAATTATTTCATTTTTTAGTGTCCAAAAAAGATATGTTACTTCAACGTATGCGCTCGGAATGCCCGATTAAACAACTCAGAAATACTAATTTAGTCTAATTATACATACTATATATTCATGCATGACTCAATATCCACATACTCGAACGTTTCGTATACTATGGTTATATACATGTGATCATAGGATGATGTAGGCATTCGAGTTCTGGAGTTTCGAATTCAGTTCGAATTCAGGTTTGAGCCGATTTCCTGTTGGAACACGTCCTATGAATACTCGCACTCGAATTAGATCTAAACTTTGCTAATATTGCTTGTTGTTCTCAGCTGTCTAGGTATAGAAATTTACATTCTGTAATTGAGCCGCCGCTCATAATTTACATTACAAGGTGTTCATGTTCCGATTATTACAAATGTTCTTCAGGTGTAGAATTATTCAGTGGAGTTTCCATGGTTGTTCGAGTTTTAAGATTGGAACTTTGAGTAATTGATGAACTGCGGGAAAGCTTTTTCCTTGAGGAACTTTGGGAACTAAATACCTTCTGGAACAGTTGCTTGAATGCGTTGTTGTACTCTCGATCGAAACAGGCATAAATGACAGGATTGCAAAGACTGTTAAACGATGGTAAAATCATAACAAAAATGGTTCCTAATATCTGATTTATATACTGGCTAGTTGACAAATACTCTGGTCGGTAAGTCCCAATGAAAAATAGAACAAACAGAGGGGCCCAGCAAACCGTGAATGCTCCAACAACGAGTAGAAGCATTCGGGCGGTTTTCAATTCTTGATACAATTCCTTGTTCACCGCTTTCTTCCTTCGCGAAGACACCCTTCGACCCAGCTTTCCTTTTCGATTCCGTTTTTCCTGAGTGTGCGCAACGTGAAATACAAGCGCGTACATAGCGAGTATCACCAGCAAAGGTAAAAAGAAGAAAACCGATGCAGTTACAGTAATGTAGATTTTATTATCGTTTATACATCCTTTTCCAACCAATGCAATCACGCTAACACTGTCATCGTACGAAAACATTCCCAGTGTAGCATGGACGCCAGAAATGAGCCAAATAATACAAATTACTAGCTGCGACTTTCGGGTATCCATTCGTGATCTGTATTGAAAAGGATGGCTAATCTTAAAGTAACGATCAATACTGATAACCGTTAAAGTAACAATAGATGCCACTTCGCAACATATATCGATCCATGTCCAGAAACGACAAAGTTGAATTGAGGCTAGGATTGTGGGATTAAGAAGAAGATGTAGTCTGATAGGAACACTGAAAATACCAACAAGGAGATCAGCAACTGCAAGACAGGCAACGAAATATTTATTTGGTCGATGGAGACGCTTATCCAGCCAGGTTGTTACTAAAACCAAGACATTACCGAGTACGATTGCAATTATCATTAGGATTAATATAACTATAGTGGCTGACCATAATGAGTTTTTAGAAAACTGGACTTTTGGCAGGTTTTGAGTTAGCGAGGCATTCGGAATTGCAGTGATATTCTTCTCCATTCCACTCAGAGTTCCTTTGGACTAGAGAAAAAGTTCAAAATAAGCAATTAATGCTTGTATATATGTAATACGTATATATCTTAATACACACTATATACGCACAACTTTGAATAGTATCGTCATGACATTGCTATTGGACATGGTAATGAGAATCGCCATCAAAATATTATGTCTATGTAAAATTACAACCAAAACAAAACACGCTCATTGGGTAGGGTTAGTTCAAAAACTAAGGACCCCCGACAGTTAGGGGCCCTCGTCAGCCACGGTCTATCGCCCAGAAAATTAGAAAACGTAAAAAAATGCAGGTTAAGAATGAAGAATCAATGGGAAAATGCAAAATTAATAATGCTAAATAACAAAGCCTCCATCGACAATCAATTATGGTAGCTGATTTTGTTATTCCACCTCAAATAAAACAAAAGTTAATCTTCATAGTTGTTACATGTGTTGGAGACTGTTATTTTCATTGTTATAGAGACAGAATTTCAGTTGCAGAACATTTTATAATTATTCAATAGAAATACAATATCACAGTCAAACAATGACAACATGCAGTCAACAGGGGCCCCCACACACACCAAATCTGCTTAAGAATATAATAATAAGAGCCCCCTCTTCCTCCGTTACGCTACTGAAAGGACACAGCTTAAAACTGTGATTGAGTAGAAGGATTGCTTTTGCACCCATGAACTATTTTTCCAAGAGTGCATGGGCAAATATAGGGAAATACCAGTTGAGGAAAAATCGAATTTTGCATTGTTTGAAATACTCGGGCCGTTTGCTGCGTCCAGTATCGTTCACTTTCATTTCACCCATCTTGGAACTGAAATATTTTTAGCGGAACTAACACTTTCGAACACGCTGAGTTCAAATCCGAAACGTTCCCGCTCCGTAGACCTGCAGTTTTCTCACATGAACTGCAATTTTATCTTCACTAATTTCACGACAACTTTTTTCATTGTTTAACGACACGGATCGATGACGACAAACGATTATGTCACTCAAAAAGACCAATTTCTATTAACCAGTCTACCTTTTAACAAAAGACCGGTTTTGCTCGAATCATTTTGAGTTATGTTATATTATACGTGTTGGACGTAAACAACATATCTTGTCTACAACTTTGGGAAGGTAAAGCTAAAGCTTTCTGAAATCCTCAGTTCTGGCTCTATCTCAATAAAATCTTGGCTATGTCTCTGGGCTGAGAAATAACTCTTTTAACGCGATCAAGGTATTTAAAACAAAAGTAAGTGCGAAGCCAACGGAACGACAAAGACAACACTAAAATGAAATATTGTCGATGGGTTGCTCATGGTAGAAGACTTACGACAGGATCACTCTTTAATAAATGTTCACATCAAAGACAAATATCAGTGCCAAAATATAAAATCTGCTCTGTAAACTTACGACGAAGTGGAGAAATGTGTGCATGAGCTGCTTATTTGGTGATTACAACGTACACGAAAGCCCTCTTTTCAATAATACTCGCTAATCGCACAGAATAACACCAACTGATATAATAGTTCAAATGCAATGATAAGTTACCTCTTGAATTACGTCTCAAAAACTGTGTTGGAAATTTAAATGCTGACCCATTACATAACATTACCGTTTTACATCGTTGTATAAAACATTTTGATCGCACGTAAGGAATTATTTCTCATCCCAGAGATATAGCCCAATGACTTAACATTGACGTCCTTGTGATTTTATAGAGATACAGCCAGAACTGAGGATTTCAGAAAGCTTTATCTGTACCTTCCCAAAGTTGTAGACAAGATATGTTGTTTACGTCCAACACGCATAATATAACATAACTCGAAATGAGTCGAGCAAAACCGGTCTTTTGTTAAAAGGTAGACTGGTTAATAGAAATTGGTCTTTTTGAGTGACATAATCGTTTGTCGTCATCGATCCGTGTCGTTGAACAATGAAAAAAGTTGTCGTGAAATTAGTGAAGATAAAATTGCAGTTTGTGAGAAAACTGCAGGTCTACGGAGCGGGAACTTTTCGGAATTGAACTCAGAGTGTTTGAAAGTGTTAGTTCCCGTAAAAATATTTCAGTTCCAAGACAGGTGAAATGAAAATCGCTTTCTAGGCACTTTTCGAGGTCACAGCATACGGCCTAAGGAGATATTCCTAACTAAATTCTAATACATGCACCTTGACAATATTTTACGCATCATTACGTCCAGCTGTTTGGTAGGGTATTCAAATTTAACAATAAGTGATTTCAATAGTTTTCGGTTTTTTTGGGACACCCTGTATACTTATCATCAGTACATATACTTATCATCAGTCCAGACACCTATGCTTTACCTGTGGGATTTGAAATATGCATGTCCACGCCAGGCCATTGGCATATACAGCCTTGCAAAAACTGAAGAAGAACACGATCTCAACTCCATAGGCGTACGGGACGGGGGGGCCG